ACTGACTTCCTTTTTGGAGCAATAGCTGAATTATGAGAGTGCCCCTGATGGAATTCCCTTTCTATGGCTGTGTTTGATTTATGTGGATACCCCCAGTCTGTCTCCCTGTCTGGAGCACTATCAGACATGTTTGAATAATGTGGATACTCCCAGTGTGACTCCCTGTCTGGAGCAATAACGGATATGCGGGATGACCCCCTATCCTGGGAATTCCTGTTTGGAGCATTTGCAGAAGCTTGGGATGACTCCCAAACGACCTCATCAGCTTGTGAGGCCCTGTTAGGCCTAGGGACCTGTGCCCCAGAACCCATATTATGGTCCTCCTCCTCCCTCCCAGAGCAGAGCCAGGAGTGGAAACGTGGCTGTCCAGCCTCCAACGCAGTTGGTCTATGTGTCTGCAAAGAACGCAGCCATCATCCAAGGCAACTTCATATGACAGTGGCCCAGAGATCTTGCAGACCACTGCTGTGACCCAGAGATGTCCAGGCCCATAGTTCCTTGCCCAAACCGGATCGCCCATCTGAAGTCTCCTAGGTGCCCGCGGTTGTGACATCTGTGAAGCTACCCGGTCTGGGTGCAACCTGTCCAGTTTGGTGATAAGGCAGTGAACTCAGCGGAGTTCTGCAGGGCTCTTTCCTGTAGCTGTGCAAGGTGTGGTGCAGTGTGCAAGAAGGAAATCTGCTAACCTGTGATGCTAGTTATCGTAAGTCAGTTTCTTGAGAGCATCTTTGGTAGTGCGCACCATTCTCTTAGCCTGTCCATTGGAGGATGGGTGGAAGGGAGAAGAAGTCACATGCCAGATCAAGTTGGCCTGAAGAAAAGCCTGGAACTCAAAAGAAGTAAATTGAAGGCCATTATTTGAAACCAGGACATCTGGAAGCCTGTGCGAGGCAAAAATTCTTCTCAACACCTGGATGGTCCTGGCAGTAGTAGTGGAGAAAACAGGAACAACCTCTAGCCACTTAGAATGGCTGTCAACAATGAGAAGGAAGAATTGCCCCGAAAGGGCCCAGCATAGTCTATATGCACCCGTGACCACGGGGTTTGAGTTTCCTCCCACCTATGTACAGGGGCCTGAGGCATTTCAGGCCATGACTGTTGGCACAGTTGGCAACTGTGCACCTGAGCCTCGATGGCTTTATCGAGCCCAGGCCACCAAAGATGGCTGCGTGCAAGCGCTTTCATCCTTACTATACCAGGATGTCCCTCATGCAGAGAGAGCAAGATTCCAGACCGCAATGAGGCTGGGATTACTACCCTGCTATCCCACAACAGGCACCCCTTGAAAGTGGAAAGGTCATGCTTCTTGTGCCAGAAGCTTTGGAACTCAGTATCTGGGCACGTGTCAGGCCACCCTGACAACACCCAGGTCAGCACAGTTTCTGCAGCCACGTCCCTAGCATTTAGTGGAGATTCAGGTAACTCCTGAATGGAAAGAATATTAATGGCAGGAGCAGGATCTGCCTCTATCTGTTTAAGAGGTAATCTGCTGAGGCCATCAGCATGGCCCATTTCTTTTCCAGGTTTATGAATTAGAGTGTAGTCATATACTGACAAGAAAATGGACCATCTCAGCATACGTGGCAAAATAATATGTGATGTCTGTTTGTTAGTGGTAAACAAACCCAGCAGAGGCTTATGGTCTGTGTAGACCATGAAGAGGTGGCCATATAAGAACTCATGGAATTTCTTTATGCCAGCCACTATGGCCAAGGCTTCTCTGTCAAGGCTTCTCTGTCAATCTGAGCGTAATTCCGCTCTGCAGATGACAGAGTCCTTGAGTAGTAGGCCACAGGGACTTGTGTCCCATCAGCCTTCAGATGGCTAAGTACTGCTCCCACCCTATAAGGAGATGCATTGCATGCATACAGGCAATTACTCATTGAAATGTGTTAACACCGCGTTTGAAGAGAGCAAGGCCTTAACCTCATTGAAACTTCTCTCATGATCTTTAGTCCACTGCCATGGAGCCTGCTTGCCTAAGAGCCGGTGTAATGGCTCAGCCACTGCAGCCTTATGTGGAAGGAATGTGTGATAGAAATTTAAGAGCCCCAAGAAAGCTTGCAGCTCACTTTTGGACTTGGGCCTTGGGGCCTGCTGAATCGCTTGAAGCTTGGATTCAGCAGGGTGAATGCCTTGGGCATCAATCCTGAACCCTAAGAAGTCAGTGGAAGTGACTCCAATCTTGCATTTATTCTGCTTCAGGTTAAGGCCTGCTTTGCAAAAACGAAGCAAGACAGCCTTTAGCCTTTCTGCTAAATTTTGAGATGACTCCCCACCAATGAGGACGTTATCGAAGTAGGACAGACCCCAGGAATACCCTGAAGTGTACGCTCCATGACACTTTGGAATATGCCAGGGGCTACATTTACCCCAAATTGCAGTCTTTTGACCTTGAAGGCCCCCTGTGTGTTACAATCATCTGGGCCTCTGCAGATGCCTCATCAACAGGTAGCTGTTGATAGGCCTGTGCCACGTTAAGTTTCGCAAAAATGCACCCCCCTTTGAGGGAGACCAGAATGTGGCTTACAACAGGCACTGGATATGCATGCTGTTGCAATGCTTTATTCAGTGTGCACTTATAGTCTGCACATATACGGACTTCCCTATTAGCCTTTAAAGGCATTACTATGGGGTTTTCCCATGGACCAGAATCTACAGGTTCTAAAATGCCCTACTGGAGCAATTTGTTCAGCTCAGCATCTATCTTACTTTTGAGGGCAAAAGGCACCCTTCTAAACTTAACGCTGATGGGCGTGATAGTTGGGTCTAACCGTAGTGCAATGGGAGGCCCCTTGTAGGATCCTAGCTCTGAACTAAACACATCAGCAAACTCCTTGCAAACCTCTGCAAGGCCCAACATTTGCAAGTTGTGCAGCCCAGTTGCTTGGATTCCCAGAGCCTCAAACCAATCAAGTCCAATAAAACTCGTATGTTCACCCCCAACTACCATCACATCCAGGAAACCTTCAAAATCCTTACGCTGTACCTTGAGTGTGGCCTCCCCCTTTACACAGACCTTAGAATTCTGAAAATCAGTGAGTATTAGATTTGATGGCCTGAGTTTAACTCGAAGGCCACTAGTGCTGCAAATCCTTTTGAAGGTGTCAAGTGAAATGATTGATAGAGCGGACCCTGTGTCCAACTCCATCAATAAGGGAACCCCTTGCAACTTCACGTCAATGCAAAGTTTTTTCTTAAGGGACTTGTGTGTCCCTGTCCTCAGAATACTCCTGCGCAATGTGCAGAAACCCACCCTGTGTTGGCTGGGGACCCGGGTACCTTTCTGAAGCAATTCTTCCCGAGGTTGAACCTTCTGGCGACCCAAATAGACAGAGGTGATGTGGTCTTGCCTGCCACATGCCTGGCAAATGGCAGAGCAAAACCTGCAGTCAGCTTGCCTGTGGCGTCCTCCGCACACTGAAGAGATGCTGGGGCCTTGTCTGGACAGCCCTTCGGCCTCCTTTCAGCTGGCTGGTGAAGCCTGTCCACCTCCTCTTCAGGATCTGCTTCGGATTCTTCTCGAGTGTCCTCTTGATGGACGTTAGCGGTGGCTGGAGGGTTCCTGGTGAGCCGCAAAGCCTTCACAGAAGCCTGCTGCTTCTTCAGCTGCCACCTCTCTTAACGCGTCTTGGAACGAGACCTCTTCTTTCACAAAAATCTTTTGTTGTAGGTCGCTACTTCTCAAGCCACACATGAAGCGATCGCGCAGCCTTTCTTCCAGATCCTTGAACTCACAAGGCCTGGCCACTTGTCTTAAGGCAGCAATAAAGTCCACAGCAGATTCACCCGGCCTCTAGTCTCTCTGCTTGAACGCGTGCCTCCAAGCAATGACAGATAATTTCGGCTGGAAGTGTTCTTTCAACATCTTCTTCAAGTCAGCGTATGTTACTGACTCCAGAAGTGCAGGGGCCACCAGATTTTCCGTGATGTCAAAAGCTTCCTGTCCGTAGGCACACAGAAGTGTTGCTGCATTCAGGCCGTCTTCTCTGATTTGATTTACTCTAAAGTAGTTCTCCACCCGTGCTACGTATGAATTCCATCTCTCTGGGTGGGAGACATCAAAATCAGTCAAACGGCCAATCTTCGACATCGTAAGCTCTCCGGCCTTCGCTAATTGCCTCCTGTGCAAGCTATGATTTAGGGAAGGATCCTTTTGCCGAGCTCACCTCCAGCGATGCTGTACTGGCAGGCTGAGTCGCAAATGTAGGACACCGTCTTCCCAATTGTCAGGACTTCCTTGGTGAGTCCTAATTCTTTTTCTTGCTTGCAGGGATCCCACCTTCATCGCCAGTATTGTGTTTTCGGCTTGTTGGCAATTGACGAAGACACATGGTGAAAACAACAAACTCTTTATTTCTCTCTCCTACAACCAAGCAAGCAGCAAAAGGCACACAGGCCTTTTATAGTGCCTGAAACCCGGACAGTGTGAACCAATAGGAATTGACCATTTTCGCACCTTGCACATGCGCATAAGGCTGGCGCCACTCTGTCTGGTCCTAGGCAGCTTTTGGATTGCCTGGGACCATTTGTAACAATTCTGAGCCTGCTTTCAGCTCTTGCAGGCTCAGGACACAACAATTATAGTGAATAATGCATAAACTATATATATGTAGACTTCTTTTCATTTTGTCTCCTGCCTTTAATTTATTTTACCGATTGCAGTACTTCTTTCTTTTTTTCTGCACCGAGCACAATGTTGTGTGCCTGGAAAGGGACATGAGTTTTTTTGTGAGAATATAATAGGAAGTCCTATAGACCAATGTGAAAAAAAAAACCTTCAATTGTTTCAGTCTCATGAGGAAACTTTAATTTAAACTAAAAGGAGTCAGGTTCCTCATTGACAAAGTTTCCTATATTACAGTATATGGGAATAAATTTTGCAGATGTCATAGGAGAACTACAGCTCTGACTCTTTGACCTTTGTAAATTCCATATGACCTTTCATTAGCAACCTAGAGACAAGAAAAGGAGTGGCATATTTGGAAAGATGAAGCGAGTATGAAACTTAATAATAGAAAGTATGTACAATATCCCAAGGTCTCTGCTCACATGAGAAATGAATAATGTTTTAAATCCTTTAGGGTTCCTGCCACTGAGAATGAACAATATTAGAGTAGTCCAAATCACGTGAATTCGGAGGATAACTTCAATTTCAAGTCATTCTTGCAGGGCAGAAAGTTAAGTTCCTCAACTGAGGCTGACCTTAAACTGAAAATAGAGAAGTGAATAAAGTGTAAGTGAAGCTGGGAGGCGGTTGCTTGATTTGCATAGTGATCACAAAAGGAGCATAGTTATAAATTCTACTATTTTTGGCAGTGCGAGTGCTAACGAGAGAGAAGTTCTGCATTCTCTTTTGGTAAAGCTTAAAAAATGCTGCATTTTTTTCTGTTCCTGCTCTTTTTTGGCCAGGTTGTTCAGAGCCTAAGAATCTGCTCTTTCAACGTGAGATCATTTGGAGAATCTAAGAGAAAAAAACCAGAAATCATAGATGTTATTGTAGAGGTATGTTGTTCTCTCTTGGGATTAAGTTCAACTAGATAGTGGGGTTTTCAACTGAATAATTATATATTAACACAGATGAGTTTCAGATTAATGTGCATTTGAGCATAAATAAATCTGTGATTTTAGCAACAAACTTACCCCAAAAAGTCATCACCAGATCGAAACTACATGGATAAGCAAGACTTTACTTGCAAATGCTGTTGTTAGTAACTATGTAAGATTACTAAAATATATGATTTCTCAGGGGGAAAAAATCATTCTTTTCCGATGTCTTTTCGGATATTGCCACTTCTAATTAGTTTAATTGCCAGTATAAAATACCTCTGAGCTCATTAAGAAATGATCATGATAAGTCAAAAGGTGCTCATGGGGGCAAGAGTTGAATACTTACAGTAGATACCATTCAAAGGTTTGGGTAATAGGAGCAGGTTAACAAAAATAGTATTTTATTCTCACATTGCAATGACTTCTCTTTGGAGTCATTTTGGGTTTCTCAGGAAAAGTAGAATGCAGCTTCTTTCCATGAATTTTTCTTTCCTAGTAAATAATGAATTTCAAATCTCTAATTCTGATAAAATATGCTATTCTGTATATGAGTGTCTTGATGCAGGCTCATTGCTGTGATATTTTAAAGGGTGGCCCAAAATGTTCATTTAACAGAATGAATTTATTTGGCTATTCAGCAAACAGTAAGTCAATATTTGGATTTAGGCAGATTTAAAATACTACTATGGATCTTTACTTATTAATAGAGCTGTGATCTTGTATGTGTGTATGTGTTTAAATTTAGAGACATAGACTATTGTCATTAATTTAATAATTGTAAAGCTGCCCTATTCAAACAAGGTGACTCTGGTGGTATAAAATAACATCAAACAAATAATCAAGCCAAAAACCCACAAAGCATCAAAACATATGCAATTATATGATTGTTAACCCAAAGGCAAATGTAAAGGCAAATGCCTTCAGGCTCAGTAATTATGAGAAATTTCCAAGAAAGAGAACTGAAAGCTAATAATAAGCTTTATTAAAGTTTAATATTTAATGGAGTAAACATACAGTGCTTCCTGGAATGGATACCAGGTATATATGCAATGGTCTATCCTGGCATACCCATGCCAGGAGGTGGGTTTGTAAAATTTTTATACCCAATACACTGAGCATTCATTATTCATCAGCACAACACATCAATTAAAAATGTGTGAGAATCTAACTTAAACAGCCTGTGAAATATCTTCCCTGTGAACTCCTCAGTGTCCCTGCACCTGTCATCACTCCCTCATTAATTCCCAAGCTATGGTATACATCTATAACACCTTTTTTATATTAAAAGCCCACAAAATGATTAAATATGGCACTAGCTTGGTCCAGGGTATACAATTATGTGCTTATAATTTACGTTATAATGCAAGCTCAGTGCTAGCTGTTGCATGCTCTACCCTGATTAGCAGCAGAATTTCAAGCAAGCTTGATTCTTCAGACCTAATAAGATTTTCTCAAAGTATATGTCCTAATATTAATTAACAGGCCTTCTTAATACTGTTCTGGATCTGGGATTAGTGATCTCAATGGATGCTCTCCTAGTTTGTAATTCCTAAACTGGAAAGACTGCTGAGTAGTTATCAGTGTAGGTGTCCTGTGGCAGTGCCTGTTAAGGTCTGTCAAAGGGTCAGTTGGGAATTGTTACTTCTTTTAAGAAGCACAAAAAGGCAACTGCTGTCGAGGAACATCTTCAGGAAAAACTCTGAATAACAGGTTGTATGGGACCTGGTAAGCTCTGGATAATCATTACAGATTTGAGCCAAGATCTTCCCATTTGTCCCCTGTAACCACTACATAACCTCTTCACTGAAAGGGACATATTTTCAAAGGAATGGGGGTCATTGAGAACCTTCATTGGTGAATGGGCAGCTTACAACCTGAAATTATGAATAAATATAACTAAATGAATTCCATAACTGCCTGCAACCTTTCTCCACAAAAAGCACATAGTCAAGTTGACAGTATTATTTTTTCAGTTCCATTATTACTGCAATGTAACCATTATGATCCTAATTAAATTAGAGCCCTAATCAGCAATTCTCATAGTACAACATGCCAAACACAGAACCTTTACAGACCATTTTTGTTTGCTCCTCAGATTATATCTCGCTGTGATATCATGCTACTAATGGAAATAAAGGACAATAGGAACAGAATATGTCCCTTTCTATTAGAGAAACTGAATGGGTAAGATGCAGATATGAAGTATATTAAAACTTGTAGGAGTGAATGAAGATTTGGGTGACACTGGATAAAATACTCTGAATGAAGCCATTAATTAGAGTAAATATTTCCTGATTGCTCTCGTCTTTATTGGAGAAAAGAAGAGAAAGAGAGAGGCAATATATGTTTGATATATAGGTGGGTAAGTGATATGTGTATGAGTCACAAAACCAATATTGATGAAAGGTGATCAGAATGAAATATTAGTCTGCATCAGGCACATTTTTAAATATTTAATATGAATAAATATTTAATATGGTTTAATATGATTAAAAACTACAAACTAATACAATAAATGTGCAAAGAGTAACGTTGGAACTTAGAATAAAACAAGAAAGGAACCATTTTTGTGCTCATTTCTTCCTCCCTCCCTCCAAAGAGTTCTTTAAATTGCTCTAGATGGGCATAAATCCAGCCCACATACAGAGATCTGAGTAAAGTAGTTCAAATACAGTGGGACACCAACACTGTAGAAATGTGTTTGTGTGTGTATGTACCTCTGCATAGAGTGCATACTATCCAGCAGGCACAACATCCAACTTTAAAATAAAATTTAAAAAAAATCTTGCTCTTTTCCCAGCTTTTCTTAAAAGTCTGCTGCAGTTTGTAAATTGGCAAAAGTGGGGATTTTTTTAATTGCTATTTTTCTTTCCCTGAGCTACCTTCCTTCCCACTGGCCTTTTCTGCTAGGCTCCTTTGTTTTTCCAGTCACTTGAGTTTAAAAGATTTTACTCCCAGCTCCCAAGCTTAGAGGAAAACTAGATGGCTCAGGAAAAGAAAAATAATATTTAAAAATATGGATCAAGTTTGAAACTGGAGCTGTTCTTCACTTCAAGCAAGTGCTATAACCACTATGTCACTAAGAATGACCTATAGCAGAAGCTGCAGCAGACCTTCTTGAAGAACAGGTGGTAAAATGGGGGGATGCTATTTCTGCCTATGCACAGGGGCTAAGAAAGTATCTGGTGAAGGGGGTTGCCTAGAACAGTGATGGCGAACCTTTTAGAGACCGAGTGCCCAAAAACTGGCCCCGCCCCTCTCCACCTCCTGCCCCGCCCCCATCCCGCCTGCCTGCAGGGCCACTCACCGCCTCCAGGGCCCGCCGCAGATTGCCCAGGCAGCCGAGCAGCACCATTGCAGCCATGCCCTCTGCCTGTGCCCCGCAGCATCAACTGTGCGCGATGGGGTGTAAGGGCAGAGTCTTGACTATGCTGCCTGGCTGCCATGTCCTTGGCTGCACTGCTCTGCATGGGCCACGCTCGGGGGCGGCTCTCCTCCAGGGGGGCTTTTGGTGAGGAGGGGGTCGTGGGGGAGGCAAGGCTGGGGCAACGGCATGTGTGCCCACAGAGAGGGCTCGGATTGCCACCTCTGGCATGCGTGCCATAGGTTTGCCATCACTGGCCTAGAAGAAAGGAAACTACTGCCATGCTTACATTGGTACAAGCCAAAAAAGGCTACTTTGGACAGGCAGCAGAAGAACATAGGCAGAGATTATTTTGGGGCTAAAGAGTAGGAGATAACAATGTTCCTTCCTGCTCTCTTTAATCTATTGGTGGCAGTGCAGATAAACCCATCTGGATCTTAGTAATAAATTAAAAATCAGATTTATTTTTCTTCCCAGACGGTCAGAAGGAACATACAATTATGTGGTCAGTAAGAGGTTAGGAAGAAGGAATTACAAAGAGCAATATGCTTTTTTCTACAGGTATGTTGATTTCATTCAGTATAAATGTTATTATTCAGAAACTGTGAGAAAAAAATGCAGAGGCCTACAGCTGTAGAAATGTGCTCTCTCTCTCTCTCTCTCTCTCTCTCTCTCTCTCTCTCTCTCTCTCTCTCTCTTATCTATCTACAAATATACAAATGTACAAAAATAAAATGCAATAATAAGCACAAGTTGTTAAAACAGTATAAATCGAATAAAAATATGTGAGGAAAACTGAGAGAAATTTTCTATTAATGCACCGTGCTATCACGGAAGCAAAAAAGAAATATCATTGTAGGTAGCAGAATCTAGCACATCTGTCATTGCTAAGATAGGGAAGGCATAAAAAAGCTACTGTACTTAGTATCAATAGCTAATGACTACTGACTATAAACTTTTAGAAAAGAAAATTGGAAGTGGTACCATATAAAAATATGAAAACCTATATATTCATTAGATGGCCAAAAAGAGATTTCTGGTGGTCTTCTGGCAACCCAAACATAACAACTCTAAGTCAGTTAACAAATAACATTGTGAGGGAGTTCTATGAATGTTAAATCACAAATTATCCAGCCCAATTTAGTCTAGGCTCAAGTACCCATGTCCATTGCTCCTCAGATATTAGCTCTGATTATACCAAATATTTTTGCTAACCTAGTTTAATTAAAAACTTCCAACACTGGAGTTTTTAAGAAGAGACTGGACAGCCATTTGTCTGAAATGGTATAGGGTTTCCTGCCTGAGCAGAGGGTTGGAATAGATGACCTTCCAACTTTATTATTATTATTATTATTATTATTATTATTATTATTATTATATGTTAACTCCCACTGAATTCAATTATTTTAGGATTGTAACTTAACCATACATAGTGTTTTTGTTACCTATTTTTTTTATTCTTGGCCACCATAAATCAGAAAGACAGCCTTGGAATAATCAAGATTAACATGTCCACACTTGGAACAGTAATCTTCTACTGATATATTAATTTACACTACAGATTGGAAAGTGTCTGTGTGAGGCAAATTTATCAGTATCCTGATCTGCAGCCGGGTGATGAAGATGCCTTTTCCAGAGAACCTTTTATTGTTTGGTTCAACTCTCCAAGAACAGGTTAGACACAGTTAATGTCCTTCTTGTTCAAGGTTGAAAGTCAAAAGAAATGGGATCCTTGGAGAAGTCTGAGATCTAGAAAACACAGAAATATCCTTGCCCTCTAAAGCCAAGGGTTCAACACCAGAGCTCTTTTAAACTGATATCTGTTGGAAAAACAACCAACATTCCCACCTAAATAAAAAGGCCATATCCCAAATCCCAAAGAAGGACCATTTTTTCCAACTTAATTTTAATGAGGTTTAAGGATAGAAATAGAGGTCCTCCAGGAGGCAAATTACTCAAACTTGACCACCAACTCTGAAAAACATGTCCACATTGCAGAAGCTACCTCATTTCACTAGGGTGATTTGAGGTGCTAGGTAGAAACCAAAGGGTATATGTGGAGAGGGAGGATTCTATGCAGCTCAGAGGTCACTACTTTAACATGGTGTTTGGACCAGTCTGATGGACCTGCTATGGTCACCATTATCCCAGCAAGCACAATTGATACAGCATAATCACAAGTTTTAGTGTGATTGATATAATCACAAGTTTTTTAAAAAGGGCTTTAAGATGCCGAAAGAAACATCAAGCCATGTTTTTCTGTCTTTACAAAAACATCTTGGTTGATCCATACAGTTAAGGCATGTATGTCCCTGCACTTTAGAAGCCAATACAGGTAGTCATTGACTTACAACAATAATTGGGCAATTATGGTTGAAAGTCATGACAGTCCTGAGCAGGTCGTCACACGATCAGACCCAATTTCATGACCTTTGTTGCAGCAGTTGTTAAATGAACGTAGCAGTCATTAAGCAATCCCAGTGCTTGCTATGGACCATTTTTTGCTGGAAAACAGAAGTAAACATCAGTTTCCATGGTAAATCATGGTCTAGTGTCCATGGGGCATGGCTGTAAATGTGGTCCAATTGTTGAAACCAGATCATAAGTAGCTTTGGGAAGATCTGTCACTAAGCGACTTGTTGTAAATTGAGGACTATCCATGCTCTATCCAAATAGCGATAGACTTACTATTAGATAAATTCATGCAGAAGCTTTGAAAAACAGATCAGGAGGATGGCAAATTGAAGTGAAGCCCTTTTCATTTTTCTCAAGTAATTCAGCAGCCATTTCATTGCACCAAAGGCTCCGTTTTCCAGAAGAGCTTGCCATTTTAGCTGACCACTTGCTAGCTGTTGCTCTACATAGACAACTTGCAACTGGGGTTGTTTCTGTTTCCATTTCTAATATGATCAGCTGCATGCAACAAAGGAGGTGCTGCGGTAGGAGGAGTACAGGAGCCTTCTCCTGAGTCAGGTAGTGGGACATTACAAATTCCCACTGCAGAACAGCTGAATGAAACTCTAATCACAACAGGCTTGTCTGCTTTCTTTCCTCTTTTACAACCCTACTTGTCCCACCACTTGCCGGTTTTAAAGTCAGTGATTCTTCAGTCTGAAAGGATGGGATAGCGAAACTGGAAAATCAAAAAGAAAAAAATTGGAGGGCTGTGCTGCACAAGCGATAGTTTATTTTGTTTTTGCATATTATCTCTGGGTTCAAATGCATGGAAATTAAATGTCTGCTTCTTCAGTCTGTGAGTTTTAAAAACTGCCAATAATCCCTCTTTTTTTCTTCTTTTTTTTAACAAATTTTTGTTAAGCGGTCACAGAATTTGTGATCATCCCGATACACACAATGCCTGAAATGGCTGTGCAAGAAATCGATGAACTCTATAATGTGTTTCTGGATGTCAAGTTGCACTGGAAGACTAAGGTTAGCCAAAGCCAGCTCAACAGAGCGAGCCAATCTTCTCTCATGTGTGCATTATGTATTTAGCAGCTCTATCTTAAAATATGTCTCTCATTTTTAAAAGAATTTCATATTTATGGGAGACTTCAATGCTGGCTGTGGCTATGTGGCAAAGAAGCAGTGGAAAAATATCCGATTACGAAATCACACTGACTTTGTTTGGATAATTGATGATAAAAGAGATACAACTGTGAAATCAACAACACACTGCCCCTATGACAGGTAATGGTTCAAGTTACAGTTGACTCATTCGTATTCCATTCAGTTCATCTACTAATGCTACCTATGATTTGCAATATGAAAAGAACCTGTCCTGTGAAGTTGGCAAAGCTCTAGTTGACTCATCACAGGAGATGAAGACAACAAGAAAATAATGAGAATCAAGCTAGCTAACTTATATGGAAGGCAGACAATCTATAGTCCCAGATTGCCTGCATCCCCTAGTCTTCTTTTGGAGGTTTTGACTATCAAAAGTGGATGGCATGGTAACCCATCACTTTGAAGCAAGGAGTACTAAAACTGTATGCACCCTTCATGCAACAAAGAAAAGTATTATTCACACACACACAAAAGAAAACTCGGATAGCCTTGTCTTTCAACTCATGTACTTCACATCATTGTCCCAACCATTTAATATGGCCCCTCTTCCCTACTTGGGCTGCTTTGGTGGATAAGTGTTCATCGTTTGTGGAAAGCTTTCACCAGGGTCATACCCAGTTATGGTAGCCTCTTCCACCAATAATTATGGGAGTCAGACCAAGATATATAGAGGCCAGCTGGCTGGCTGGCCATAATTCAGCCTTTCCCAATGAGTAGCATGGGTCCTCTTGTGGCATAAGCATGTCCAGCTGAGAGCACATTGTCTCAGAAGTCTAAATGGTGGGAATATTCCAGTGCTTCTTGGTTTAATGACAGAAAGCCAGAGTGAAAAGTTGGGATGCCAATCAGATTCTTAACAAGTTAATTCATACTGTGTCTGAGATACAGCAAAATGGAACTAAAGCTGCAGCTCTGGCTGAAATAACTTTTCTTTGATATTCAAAAAGAAAACTTTGTATCTTCATTAAATCTACTAGAATATGCTATCTAGATATTGTCTTCCTTGATCCTTCTTTGGATATGGTTTTATGACATGAAAGATACCTGTCTCCTGGATCAGATTGCATAGCATCTGTCTTCAGTGAACTTTTTATAGCTCACCCACAGATATTTCAGTGGTCTTGAATCTGCCTAGAACAGACAGCATTTCCAACATGATTCACCAGCCAATTCTCCTTTTTCCAAACTTCAACCCTAAATAATCGTCTTTTACTTCCTGTCTCTACCTCATAGCAACTGTTATGCAAAACCATAAAAACTGTTTCGCAGCTCATTATCAGGGTGTTATTGGAGGCAAATAATGTATCTCCAGCCTCTTTCTGAAGTTCTCTAATAAAGGGGAAAGTATCGCTTCATGAAGTAACCTGTTCTGCTGGCTGACAGCTTTTATTCTATCCCTCTTTAGTTTACTCTTCTATTGTATAAACATACCCAGTTTCTTTAACCATTTTCAAAGAATTTGGTTTCCAATTCCCTCACCTTCTTGACAGCCTTCCTCTGAACTTGCTCCACTTTGTTGATGTCTGGTTACACCTGCTTGTTACAGCATACAGCATTTCTGACCAAGGTAGAGTAGAGTGGAGTAATTATATTCCATGATTTGAACTCCATGCTTCTATTAATATATCCCAGAATAGCATTTGCTTTTGGTAGCTGCATCACACTGTTGACTCACATAGATAAACTTAAGATACTATAATACATGTACAACTTTTCACATGTACTACTGCAAGCCAGGTCACTTCTATGCTTTGTGTCTTTCAAGTTTTTTTTTCTTCAGATATAGGACATGTTTTTTGTTAAATTTCATCTTGTTTATTTCAGTTTTCTGTTCCAGCCCATCCAGATCTTTCTGAATCTTCTCTCTCATCTAAAGTGTTAGTCACTTCAAACTGTTGCATTCTTACTCAAGGCTCAAGTTAACTGATCTGTAATTTCCCAGGTCCTCTTTCCTGTTTTGAAGAAGTATACTTGCTCTTGTGCTCCTCCAGTTTTGTGGACCCTGCCAGCTGTCTAGGAATTCTCAAAAATTAAAAGTTGGATAGGAATGGAATTAAGTAAAACAGCTGAACAGGAAGCAATCCAAGTTCTTAACAATTAAGGCAGCTTACCTTTATCTCTGGTCAAACATGGTCTTAGGTAACAGATCTGCAGGGAATCCCCTCTACAAGATATATACTGTATTCATCCCATTGATTTTGGGCAGCTAATAATTAAACATAAAAAAGATGGATGACAAATCTACTCTTTATGATGTATATGCAATCCTGTACAGGTAGACTTGGCAAGAGTCTAAATCTAATGAGGCTTGCATCCTTGTAAATCTACATAAAATCATGAACTTCACATGGAAGGAGCTCTACCCTGATACATTCTCTTGGTATATAATAAAAATATGGGAAAACAGGGAGGGTGCAAACTGTTTCATAGAAAGTTGTATATCCAGGCCATCACATTAAATTAGTATAAAACTACCAAACTCCACTGCTGAGAATTTTTCCAGAACTACCCTGGACAATTTATTTATACAAAATAAATTATATTTTATTCCACTGAAAGAAAACTAGTAAAAAAAAAAAAAGCAGGAGACTCTCTCTGTGCTATATAATGGCATATGTAAACTACTGCAAACTATTACCCTGCCCAGTTTCATTGGAGCAACATACATTAAATTCAACATGGCTTGTTTTTTTTTAAAAAAATACCCGCCTATAATCTTGTTGTATGCTTGCCTTCTTGCTGTGTTATGTGCAGAGGATGCAAAGAAAAAAAACAGTTCTGAAAAGCCAGAAGATGAGAGATCCTTCCCAGCTGCTTGTGATACTGCAGCAGTGGGTCAGGGCGCTGGCTGCAGGCCACTGTTGCTCCTGAGAACCCATCCTTGGGTTGGCATTCCACCACATGCCATCTTTTCTGCAATGTATTTCTTCTATGAGGGCTTAGGTAGTTACTAATGCCATGGTCTTGTTCTCACTTTCTCTTACTGTATAGGATTGTGCTCCATGGGGAGATGCTCATAAATACCGCCATGCTGGGCTCAGCCAGTACCTTTGATTTTCAGAGGGCCTTCTCCATGACTGAGGAACAGGTTTGTTAAAGCGTAGGGTGATGCTCCAGGGAAACTTTTCTAAGTTTTGTTTTGCTGTGACCTGCCAGGGCTTGGGATCACAGCTCTGTTGTGTCAAAAGGGAAAGAGGCATATATGTGGGATCAATCGGGAAAGAAGAAGAGACAGGTAGAACTGAGACAGGTAGACTAAGAAGGGAAAATAAAGCAACGGGCACCAGATTCCCACTACTTGTCCTCCAGTGATGCTAATTAGATTCCTATGGGCAAAGATGCATTGAGAGAGAAAGCAAGCAAGATTTCCCGTTTCTAAAACAGCTTTTCCCAACTGACCTCCCAGGATGTTGGAACTGTAATTGCTGCAAATCCTGATTGGGCTCTGCAAGTGTTTGTGTTGGTGGGGTTGACCTAAGAGATTCTACACTAATTGTTGTTTTTCTCTGTGTCTGCTTCGCTAAGTATCACCAATTGGTCTTCAGAAAAATTAAAGCTACTCTACAATTCTCGATTTATGAATGGTTGCTTAGTGACCATTGGACGACCCTCCCAGCCCCCAAAAAGTTTAACAACCACTGTGTTTGTTTAACAACCATCCTGTACTCTGCTTCTATACCTTCAGAAAAATGGTCTGGGCAATAGACCGGTACCGCTGTTTCCATTTAAGTTGTTAAAAGAATTATTTCTTTTCTTAGACTTTTGCTTTTGGGAAAATAGATACATCCTGCCCTTTGAAACATCTTGCCCCTTGGAGTAAGGTCAGCTTTGACCCTCCTGATCTTCTGCAGAACTTAAAGATCTGGTTTTGCCAGATGGCTTGGGGCTCTTATTGGGGGGGGTCACATTGGGGTGGTTGACAGACTAATAACAGATTCCCCCATTCCCCTCCCTTGGCTCATCTTACTCCCTCCCTAACTTTTACTTAGGGGTGAGTATTTATCTTTTAATATTATTTAGTTCATATTGTCTATAGGTTTTGTAAAATTGTATCTTTTTAATATTGTAAACTTCCCAGAGTTACCCTGTGGTAAGATGAGCTGACAGAGAGAGAGAGAGAGAGAGAAAGAAAGAAAGAAAGAAAGAAAGAAAGAAAGAAAGAAAGAAAGAAAGAAAGAAAGAAAGAAAAAGAAAGACTACTATACCAAAAATAGTGTTGTTATCCAAGAAAAGAGCAAAAGTCAGAGAAATTCTGCACACAAACTTACTTATACCAAAATACTTTGAGCTCTTTTTGCTTCTCAGTTTCGTTCTACTTCCAGGTGGATTCTGGCCTCCTTTTCTTATTTTCCCTTCTCTGGTTAGTTCCAATATCTGGAAATGCTCACTAAAGATCTCTTTCTTAAAATCTGCCCAGCATCAAGAAATGTTTACAAGGCTGTAGTTGGGAACCCCTGCTAAGACAGATGCTGAGTGCACAGGGCAAATTAAACCCCAGCCTAATCATGGTTAATATAACTATAATTTATTCCACTCAATTTTCTGGGTTCAACCAATACAGACTAAACTGACCATAGAGGCACAGTTCATGCAGCAGGCTAGGCTAAATCTGACTGGGTACTTTATGATTCAGTGAGTTGTATGTGTAGCGAAGTCCATGGTCCCGAGTTAATATAATTGGGAGGAAGTATCTTTGCTTCATGTTTGTTGTAAAACAACAATGAATATCAGCTACTAATCATAATATTAACTTTATACATAATAATGTTATATATTAGTGCACCATAGTCTCTAACTTAAAATATACATTTTTCTTCACAGGCCTTAGCAGTGAGTGATCACTTCCCAGTAGAATTCCAGCTGAGAAGTTCCTCAAGAAGAACAGCCAGATATTGTAGAACTCTTGTACATCCAGTGAAATGTTGTTCTAGTCAAACCTAAAACACGCAAACCCAAAAATGTATATTCACAAGAAAAGAGCTGATTTTGCGGTCATTTTTATGGATGTCTTGCTACACTAGGATATAGTTAACTCAAAAAATGCAAAGCCCATATCTTTATAATATTCAAAACATTCAAGGTTAATGAAATGCTGCTTGTTTATAAAATAAACAATTTAGATTAATTTGAATGTCTTAGTTTCTATTGCATGGATTATTTGATGAAATAGTTTGTTCAAAATTGTTCCATATCTGATCTTATAAACATAGAAATTTAAGTAGTCAGAACAGATCTGTCTACTGTTTGTGTATATATATATATTAACAATTACACTAAAACATATATATATATATATATATATATATATATATATATATATATATATATATATATATATATTGCAAAGTTCAAATGGGCAGAGAACTGTGGATTTGTTGATTCAGTCTGGATTCTGAAGGTCATCTTCATAAACTCCATTGTACTGAGATAGTGGTTTGGTTCATATAGTTCTAATACACAGCCTGGAGTTCGTGGCTCACATTGTATGAACCAAGCCAATGTGCTCCATCTCCAAATAATTATTGAAATAAATTATAACTTTAGATAGTCTTGAACTCCCAAAAATTTTTGAATGCAGGCTGTTCTTGAATTCCTCCAGATACTTTTGTCACCAAAAGTTCTTTCATAGGACTGTATGTTGACTGTATTTTGCCAAGTAAGACATAAACATAAAAAATGATAACAAGTAAAGACGTGTCAGCCTGCTGAAAACGATTTTGTTCTATCAGATTTTATCTCATGTTTGACTGTTTATCTCATGTTTGATGCGTAGGATCTAATTTCTTTGCTGTACCATATTAACATATTAGAGACCATGTTGTTGAAACCTGATAACAGTGAGTGTCCATATTAGTAGAGCAAACAATTATACAAGGTTTTTTTTCATTAAGCAACCAAGAAATATCTTTTCAAAATGTGTATATAACCATGCAATTGGTAGTGTCAGGTCCCCAAACCCTCATTGTTTTCCCTGCATATATATTCTACTTTTGGGCCTGCCATTCTGTTTGGTGGGAAGGGGAATGTGCTTTCGCTTGGGATAAATTTCGCTTTCTACTTTCCCTCTCCTGCCTCCATCATCTTGAGAAAGGAATGTGTCTCCCTTATCAGGGAGATGGTTACGGTGAAACGAAAGGTGGAGAAGACCTTGAGATGCGCACCAACTGTACCAACCGGCCAGGCAGCATGCCACCTGTAAATTGGATGGATTTCAAATGGACATTGAGACTTTCGTGAACGGAGGAATATTGCTAGCTTAACTATACCATTTGTGCGGGGTTTTCCCCAGATCTTGCCTTGACTTTCCTACTGTCACTAACCCCTAATAAAAGTTTCCTTTTGAGACAATGCCTGTTTCAAGAGTTCTGCTTTCTTGGGTGGTTAGCTGAGGTGGGTCCTCAAACTACATTCCAGGTTCCTATGGAGAAAAGATCTTTACAGCATCGGACTTTCCTTTCACCACCAGATATAGCCACAGCTGAGCGTCATTTCAGCTTTGGCCCAGTCACTTCACTCTTTCTGGTGCTACTAGTACTAGCCCTCTGCTCTTCCCCAGTAGTTTATTGGACACCTTCCAACCTGAGGGGCTCATCTTCCAGCGTCATATCTTTTTGTCTTTTGATACTGTCCATGGGGTTTTCATGGCAAAGATACCGGAGTGGGTTGTCATTTCCTTCTCCAGTGGACCACATTTTGTCAGAACTCTCTGCTCTGACCGGTCCGTCTTGAGTGGCCCTGCACGGCATAGCTCATAGCTTCATTGAGTTACGCAAGCCCCTTCGCCACGATAAGGCAGTAATCCATGAAGGAGGCCTTATGTAGACTTGCTTAGTTTATGCATCATAGTTTAACCATGGTTTATTGGATATGCCACTATTGACCTGCACAGTATACTATGGCAAAATTAAGCAAGCTGTGCTATGGATTGGCCAGCTGACTATTTTGAAAAATAATAGTAATAATAACAATTTATAACACTTTTATATATTAAACCCTTACCTTTGTCATCCCCATTCTATTTTTATTTATACTGTCATTCTTCTTTTCAACAGTGGTGTTCTATATTACAGGTATAATTAATTCTTCCCTAAAGTGGAAACACTTAATTCTAGCAATGTCATCCAGAAAGAGAGAAAATGATGTACTTACCTCCGGTGCTGGGTGACAAGTCACTAACAATGTCCTGCTTGTATTCTTGCTCGGGTCAGCAAGCCAGTCTTCTTTCCTTGTTTATTTAACTATTTTCCACTCCACACCTTAGACCTTATTTGCTCTAATGACTTTTCTCAAGAGACAAATATGGAGAAATCAAATAGTACCTCGCCCAGCCCAATTTTTTACTTACTTACTAATAAATTTAAATGCTGCTCACATCAAGCAATTCAGGGCAGCAAATGCTCTAGAATGTAAAAAGATTTTCAAAACACCACAGCAACTTGTTATTAACATTGTAATAGAACTGCCATATTTCTTTCCTCTTTTCTGTTTTGCCAGCCCTTCCTGGTATCAAAACAGCATGGTTCAGCTTTCGCTTAGGTATTTTGACCTTTGGTCAAATTGAACTGAAGTCGTAACAAAGCTGGTGAAGTGAGTCTAAACATGGCAGCTTGCAAAGTCAGATAAGAAAAACATTTTGCTCCCCCTCCTGCTTCCAAATCAATGCTTTTGAACATTGAGCAATTCAAGAATGCAAATAGAACCATTCCAGCTGGCTCAGGAATTTTGGGAATTGAAGTCCACGAGTCATAAAAGAGCCAAGGTTGACTACCCCTGCTCTAGATAAACATCGGCATTTGATTGTCAATAAAGGAATAGGTGGTTTTCTTTTCTTTACATATAATCTTTTTCTTCATTTTGTCTTACTATTCCCACCAGAGGGTGCACAAACCTTTCCTTGCTTTAGCTCACAAGACATCTATTTAACTATAAAGAATTACTTCCTTTTTATTTTGATTTACTTAATCGGACAAAGAAGTATTTCTGAATTTTAACCAACTTAAGGTTCTCCTGAGACTTATTTTCAGCCTACAGAAGGGTGTCCCAAAGTTACCATTTTTACTGCTCTGGTGATGATGAACTGGCCAAGCCCAAACTGTTGGCCATTTTTTTTCAAACTGAGGAAACGCACAGCCTAGATAGGGGGGAGAAAAAAAAAAAGACGATTCTGTATTTCATTCCTGACCCAGAACAAATTCTATTTTATCCAGTGAAATCATTTCCTTGTGACTCAACTGGGAATATTCACAACAATAAAATTATTTCCCCAACATGGCTTCATTCCACTGAGCAGAAAAAGACAGAAATAATCAATTGTTCCTTCCACCAAGACAATCGACTGCTAGCCTCAACAAAACTCATTCAGAGTTAAAATAAAGGCAACCCTTCCCCTGTAGTTTTCCCTGTCTGAATTCCATAGCCTGATTTCTTTATTTCTTCTCATAACTCAATGTTTGTGATAATTTGCTGTTTTCTTCTATGCCATGCCATACTGAAAACTTCACTTGGTATCTGCCTTTGACTTTACTTACTGCCAGCTTAATTAGCTTAGTGGCTAAATTAACATGTTTTGCAGGACCGAGAGCCAGTAGGATACTTATTAAATATACTTTTTTTTCCTGAGTTGAATATGTTCAATCATACATCAAGCAAATGTACTGAGTTTGCCCAAGGTGGCTGAGTCATAAAAAATCTAAGTAAATTGTCCTAATGAGGCTATTGAGGCTTTAGCTTGCTTGGTTCAACATGAGGAGGCAGGCAGACAAAGCAAGAATCAGAAGAATTTCTTATTAGCTGCAGCATGAACACTAAACAAGTTGTATATAGTAGTAAAATTACTGAAAAATAAATGTTGTTACAAAAATAAGCATATACAAAATCTCTAAATGAAGTAGGGTCCCCCAAAACTTGATAGCTGATAAAACACTAAGGGATTACAAATTACAAACCATATCATTAGAATCCCTTGAAAAATTCTTGAAGGACACAGGGCATTCACACCATAAAAGCCTCAATTAGAGCAGCATTTCTCAACTTTAGGATTTTTAAGATGTGCTGACAATAATTCCCAGAAATTCCCAGTCACCTTGCCTGAAATAAAAGATTGCACAGGTGAACAATACATGGACACTTTTCTGCAGGTGATACAGTGAAAATTATTACACCAGTATTATATATACCAATAGACATCTTTGGAACATGGAACTTTACAGAACGTAATTTGCCTATTTTTACCTAAATCCTCTGATACTGACAATGGATAGTAATATACTTCTCATTGTAAACGTTTCTTACTGTGCTGTTGTTAAGATTTACAGATCCAGATTCCAAATACATGGGAATAAATGCCTTGAGCAAATCCACAAGTATATATACAAATAGACTTCTGTCCTGTTTGGAATGCAACCAAGGAGTGCCAGGGCAAGCCAAAGTATAATTTAGAAAAAGAAAGAAATATAGTTTTGGAGTTAAATCCAAAACTTTTCTTTTATGATTCATGAAATGGTATGCATCAGATGGGCTTGTGGTATGCGTGTGGGTGGAGGCAGGCTGTTTTTTAAGCTTGGCAACTGGGCCCTGCTTCCAGTGGATTTGGAGGACACAAAATGGTTGCTGCTCCCTTTTCTGGAGCAGATTAAAGAACATTCTCTGAAGCAAGAAGTTTCTCTTAACACTTATCTTCTCATTATGTTCCCTCCTGAGTTAACAGCTCAGACAAGCCCATTCCCTTGAATATACAGTAAAATCTCTCACAAGTGTGGCGCTGATCTCCTGCTGAATACTGTCTTTGCCACAGTTGTCTGATACCATTATTAGGAGCCACTAAAAATCTGCAAAGGAACATCTACGCATAAAATTCTCAGGAACATTTTATTAGGCAGGATATTGCTACAAGCAGAGGATGGGAAACAAGCAAATTTCATAAAACAATATCAGTTGAAATATTGAGATCCTGCATTCTCTCAAGACAGATTGGGGTGGAGATATAGTCCAAAATATTCTCCAAGAGACTTATGTCTCTTTTGTGGCACTTTCGGCAGAAGCCTGCCTAGAACCCATCACTCAGAAGGCCAGATGAAATTCCACCTGGAAGCAAAATTGCTCCCAAATTACTTGACTTAAGTTACCACCATTTCTTCCAGTTTATCGACACATACACTTGGAAAGCAACTCCATCTTCTACATCTGATTTTCCTTTGCTGGGGGACCTTGGAAAGGGTCAAAAGTCACCCTATAGGGGCGACGAGCAAGGAGGGGACCTCCACTTGATCGCAGGAGGGCAGCAGCCCCTCCG